GCTGCTGCCCACCATACACATACCTGTGCTTATCTGGTTATTCTTTTCATCTTTTGAGTGTCTCCTTTTCTGTGTCACACCTCCCAAGACTCTCCCTTCCTTAGTCTGTCCAACCTCCCATGAGCAGAAAGAACCAATCACTGCCTTCTAGGGAAACTAATGTAACTTAAATGTAATGCTCCAAATGACAATGTGTTTTCTAATTATTTGTTTATGTGAAGGACTCTCCAGTCAGCATGTAGGCTGCTTGAGGATGGAGTGTGTGTTCTAAGTCTACGTCATCAGGGATTAGATCCTGACTCATAGAGAAGAGCCCTGTAGATACTGAATGAATGAATGAATGAATGGGAGACAAAAAGAAATATCCTAGCTCTACTTGATATTGGAAGATAACTGGCTGAGGTGCTACATATCATATTAACCTATTGTGTCAAAAATCAAGTTTTCCTTTTATCCTTCAACAACTTATTATGGTTTTAGGGACAGTGTTATAATAACACAAATAATAGTCTCCACTTTTTAGCCCTAGTTAAGCGCTAGGGATCGGCCTAAGGACTTCACATCTATAGCAAGTATCTTTGCATTTGTCTGTGATAGGCCTCCCTTCTTCTGTCAGTGCACCACCTCCCACCTCCCCACACCCTGACCCAGCACACACTTTCAAATACACCTCCTCTTCTGAAGACTTGCTCTTCACTCCACTTCAATCCTATTCTTCTAACTGGGGCTGCCAGTTACACTACCCACACCATGGGATCTGTGACCACACGTGGGTCCATAAGGATTCTTCTCTGTGATCTTTAAAATTGAAACTAAGGGAAAATAAGCACCTTGCTCTCAAAAGTGCCTCATGGACAAAGCAGGTTACAAGGAATAATTTTAGTCAGAATGTAAAGAGTGAAGAGACAAGAGTCATTGTTCCAGATCCTGGTTCCAGGTGTTACTTAAGTCAGAGCGTTCTCCTTCCATCACTAACCTGCAGTCCGCTTGTGGAAAGTGAGATTCTACCACTTGCAAAGAAACCATCTATCTTGCAACAAAAGCAGCACCCATTACCTCACTGAATCCTCCCAACAACTGTGTGCAGCAGGAATTATCTTTATTTTAGAGATGAGGAACCAGAAGCTCAGAACAGACAGGAAACATGCCCAAGGCGTCCAATTAGGTAGCTGATGAGTGACTCAGAGACAGGTCATCTGGGTGCCAAAATGCAGCCATCCCACTTTTCTGCCTCTTTCTACACTATTCTTTGGGCTTCCTGAACACTGATTTGAGCTCAGTGACCCCAGACATTATCCAGTAAGTGTAAATCTTCTCTTCATTAATAAACATAGATGCTATTGATTTTGATTAACTCCTGGGGGTGTAAGGGGCTTCAATTAAATAACCTTATAAAGCGCTCTAAGCATATAAATTATCAGATATTGTTTTTTATACCACACTATGAAACATTCGCCTCTTGCAATGTTAATAATACGGAAGCAGAAAAATAGTGCTTTTGTTGTTGTTGTTGTTGTTTTTAAAGATTTTATTCATTTATTTGAGAGAGAGAGAGAGAGCACACATGAGAGGGGGGAGGGTCAGAGGGAGAAGCAGACTCCCCGCTGAGCAGGGAGCCCAATGCGGGACTCGATCCCGGGACTCCAGGATCATGACCTGAGCCGAAGGCAGTCGCTTAACCAACTGAGCCACCCAGGTGCCCGAAAAATAGTGCTTTTTTTAAAAGTAGTCTTTTGTATGGTGACTAACATAACATAATAAAATTAAAAAAAATAAAAGTAGTCTTAAAGACACTGTACATAAATATTTGGTATCAGTAACTTAATCGAATATTAATACGCTTGCTTTGGAGACCAAAAGATAACTGGTATTTCAGAATTGAGTTTCCTCAAAAGACCATAAGTTAAAACAAAAGACAAAGCATTTGTAGAAAACTGAATCTTTCTACTTTTGTATATGTCCTTTTTCTCAATCAGTTAGATTTTTAATTGGTATTTCTTTGATCTCCGCACTTGCTTATAGATCTAGTGCAACTGTGATCTTCTACGTCAATTATTGACACAAATCTGAGAAGAACCATGAACTTAGAGAAAAGCAGACAGAGTCAAACCAAAGGAAGATGGATTTGTATGTGAAACTAATTTTCCTCGCAAGAAAAACAGATATTTCCTTCAATATCAGGGTGCACTCAGATTTGTTTTCCATATTAGTAACTTATTTAATATGGCAATGGGCAAAAGGCAATCCATTAAAAAGCAATTTTCCTCTTACCACAGGGTGTTTTATCATTTGATGTCTAGCGCTCAATCAGAACGTAGCCATCCTTTAATATTTTATGAGCGGAGAACAACTCATTTGGGCATGTAGATTTCAGAAATGTGGAGTCCTCTGTAAGCCTTGCAAAATGTCCAGAATGACCTTTGCAGTGCAAGCAATAGGCCAACCTGAAAACTCAAACTATAAGAACATTGGAAAAATTATGCCTTAGAATAGATAGTGGGCATTTAAAATAAATACGCAATCATTTATAACTAATAGTAGAAGATATCAGTCCCAAATCATGCTTATACTTTCTCAAGGGCAAGCTTTTCGGGGACAGGGACCATATCTGATTCACCTTTGTATCTGCAGGGTCCATCATAGTCCCTGGCACACTGAAAGTGCACAAAAATCAGTAGGTTTTTATTAAACAGATGAATACATACATTTGTCATCTTGGATGAAGGGTCACCCAGGCCTTGGGTGACCAAGCTCAACCTCGCTGCAGAGATGAGCCTGACCAGGTACTAAATGAGTTGTAGCAGAAGGCTGGAACCTTCTCTGCAGCAGAAGGTGAGATATGGAATAACACACAGTGCAAGAATAGCAGCTGGGGTACCCCCAAGATCCCCAAAGTATTTGCCTTTATCCACACTCTTCATCTCAGTTCTTAGGAATTGGGTCCTGTCCTGTTCCTGGCTTCATACCAGGTCCTCAACCGTCTGAGAGGGCTGCTCGGCACCTGCCAGAGGTCAGTCCCTATTCTGTACCCACCCCCCTACCACCACAGCCTAGAACTTGGCCCTCTTCTCCACGTTAGTCTCCCTAGGCTGAATACGATCTGTTCCCAGGGTCCCTACCTGTGACCAAGCCAAAATGAACACAAGTACTCAAACCACCACCCCCAAATACTACCAATCTACTTCTGGGGGAAATGTGGAGGCGTAGGAGCACGGTGAAGTCGGTGAGGACATTACCCAAGGACACGAAGGTCCTACGTGGCAGAGACAGAACCCAGCTCCCCTGTAGTCCCAGCCTCCCCCCCTCTGCTCCTCTGTATCTCTGTTCTGTGTTAACTCATAGCACGATAGATACATGTCGACTGGGCAAAGGAAAAGAGCAGGGGCTGGGTATGGTAATGAAGCCCAAAAGAATCCACTTTCTGCTGCCCTCAAGGTGAGAACTGATAGCCCAAAGCAAGCCACAGGGAAGGGGGGAGCAAAGTGAGGCAAAAACAAAGCCATGACAAGCCCCAGCCAGCTAGGGCATGACTGCTGTCCAGCTTACAAGATGCTCTTTGTAAGGCTTCTTAGCAAGTGACTTCCAGCAGCTCCCCCCATGAAACTGACATAAACATGAAACAGTCCCAGTTATCGGACTGAGGAATTCGGTAGGATCTGCTTGATTCGGGACTTTAATCCTTCAACTGAATGAACAGTAAGCTTGGCAGCAGCAGACGTAGATCTCAACAAGTTAGTCTGATGCAGAGGAGGAGGGGGAGCTCGGGTCAAGGATCCAAGTAAAGGGAAACGTTCACCTCAGTGATCCATGAACCCGAGCGGACTGACACAGAATCTCTCAGGTCAGGCTGCTACTCGTTCCACACAAAAATGCCCTAATTTGGAGCTCCTAAGCAATGAGCTTTGGTGGCAGTTCCATGTCAGCTTCAGCTTCTTTCCCCCATCCACCCAGACTGGAGGAGGAGTACCGTTTGCTGTGCTTGGTCAAAGAGACTCAAATTCTTAGTGTTTCCTTACTATGTTTTCTCCATTTCCTTGTTTACCGGAGCAGCGCCTTGACTCAGTTCTTATGATGTAAATAAAGCATAACCCCCTCTCCAATGTAATCACTGGATTCCTTTCCATGAATCATTTCAGACCATTATTTTAAGCTCTCAAGCAGGTAACTGAATATTTATGCTTTCACCACATTACCATACACCCAACATCTCTCTGGTATAAACAGTCTTTCTCTGGAGCCCAAGTTATGAAGCCTACAAGGGAAGATGTGTATGTGCGTCGGCTCTAGAGATATTGGAGGGAAGGGAAGTCAGCCACTTTAAGGAGGCTCGGTGTTAACAATGACTGCAGGCGAGGTTAAATCAGAGGCATCCCAACAGGTTCAACCCAAATTATACCAATGAGCAAAAGGCAGGAAAATTATCATACCCTCTTTTTTCTGGGTGTCCTCTCCTAAATCTTGTAATATAGGTAAGAAACAGAGCAATAAGCGTATCTCTGACCACATTTGTCATGATCAGCTACCCATTTTCTTCTATAATTCGTTCTTGCTTCGAGAAAGCTTTCTAAACAAGTGAGCAAGAGGATTTTATTAAGGTATTCAATTTCTCTTTATAGAGAAAAATAGTTTCAAAAGAAAGAAAAGAAAATGATTGACAGGTAGGTTAAAAAACTGGAATTTTAAAAAAGAAAGCCGTAGATCTCTTTCCTTAACAGATTACTAAATGCAGGGCTGTCTTAATATATTCTCACTTTTATAATATTTGAAACTCAGTCATAATACCTGCCAATTTTCCCATTCTTGGAGATTTTAAGAATGTTTATTCCCAGCACAGACGTGCAGAAATACATACACTGGAAGCCTGAGCCCAAGAATGCTGAGTCCACGGGAATGCCCATGCTGTCAGCCCCTGGGGAATTCTTCATGTAGGTCCAGGCACAGCCCTGGAAGCGGGGTGCCTGCCAGGCATCATGCCCATGTAGGAAACAGGTGTTACTTACGCAGCTCGCCCACTTTCAGGATCTCACACAGCATCTTGGTCAGCTCTATACTACTGCGGCCAAAGGGACATTCATGCTTGTCTTCCCGGCTACTGTTCTCAAGCACGATCTGCAAGTAGAAAGGGAACAGACAGGTCAGAAAGGGAAGTCAGTCTGTGGTACCTGTCAAAAATGTTGGCTCCATGGTAACAGAGTAATAGAGCCACTTCAGATTACCAAACTAAGCCTTGGGGCCAAAACAAAATTGTACTCTACTTATATTCTCAGTACCTAGCACCTAAAACTCTCATGTTTTCCAAACCTCTTAAAACTTTCCACCCCGTAAGAGGATATTTTGCCCATTGGTTTACACTTACACAGAAGTCCCTATGGATGGGGAGTTTTTCAAAACGGGACCATAAAGACCTATTACTGAAGTGATAAGACTGCTCTCTTCTCCCCGCCCCCAAGTCACATCTCCGCTTTCCTGGGGATAGCAGCTCTTCTGGGCCTTCAATTCCTACATTTTTATCACGTAGCTCCCACAGAGGTTTCCATGTTCTTACAGGATCTCACCCCTGGCATTAGTTTAAAACATTTTTTTTCCTGAGAGAGATTGAGTGGGGGGTGAGGGGCAGAGGGAGAGAATCTTAAGCAGACTCCACGCCCAGCTTGGAGCCCTGCGCTCCATCTCACGACCCCGAGATCATGACCTGAGCCGAAATCAAGAGTCGGACACTTAACTGACTGAGCCACCCAGGTGCCCCAACACACCCCACATTAATTGACTGGAGCATGCCTAAGGGACACGTGACACAAATGGAACCAACCAGAGGTCGTCCCTGAGACTCTTCCTACAGAAATGGAAAATAAAATGGTCCAACTGTGCTGACAGTACCCAAGAGGTAGGAGGCAGGAGCTACCTGAATGTGAGCCTGCAACAGAAACAAAACCATTAAAGAAAAGCAAGCCCGAATGCAAAGGAAAGCAGAGGGGAGAGGCGGCGGGAGCCCTGGCTGCACTGGAGTGGCTGGTGGCCCCACGTGCTCCCAGAGCAACGCTGCTTCCCTGTCCTTAGTGTTTATTTGCGCAACCCTTCCTCCAAAAACTGTTTTCGGCTGGTCCAGGAAATTCTCCTCTATCCTTAAGATAGTTTGAGATGTCCCTACTACAATTAAGGGAGACATTGTAAACAGGGATTAAACAAAAGTAAAACAAAGCACTAAAACTCGTTTTAAAATTACTAAACTTCAAGTTCAGATGTTGACAAAAGGAAAGATCAGCTTCTGCTTCTCTGGAGCCATCGCAGGTATAGCTGTCTGCCACCTCCTCACGGGCTACACCATCCAGAGTGGGTGCGGGTCTCCCAACAGCGTCGACGCCAATGCTGTGCAACAACTTACATTGTTTTGCCCCCTAGACTAGGAACTCTGCAGCGGCGGACGTAGTGTCTCGTTCATTCAATCAATAATAGTAACTGAGTACCCATTATCTACCAGGAAGATGCCCCACAAACTAGAGAACAAGATAGACCAGGGCTCCAACCTCATGGAGCCTTCATTCTAGTTGAGGAAGACAGACGATACAATAGGTAATTACAGTTTATCACAAGTGCTATGAAAAAGACAATGTAACCGGTTGAGGTGCTAAAGAGCAATGGGGAAGGCCTGAGGAGGAGAGTTTTGATAACCAAGTGACTGTTGGGAACCGAGCATGCGCAAGAGCATGCCATGTCAAGGTCCGGGAGGAAGAATGTTTCAGGTGTAGGGATCAAGGACAGTGCCCCTGAGCTGAGTAGGATGTGTCTGGGACAGGCCAGCACACTGCCTGGTCTGTAGTGCGAAGGGGTCCGGGGTGGTGCAAGGCAGCACTTTGGGTTCCAAGAGCCCGAGGGGGCGGAGCACAGAGGTGAGCCAGGGCCCCTGCCCCAGGGCTGGGTGGGGTGTCACTCTAAGACCTTGAGATGCTAACCCTGAGGTTTAGGCAGGCAAGTGACATGAGTGACACAGCCTGATTTGTTTTGAAAAGATCTATGAGTACTGAGAATAGAGAGTAGGGAGGAAGAAAGAAAGGAGGGCCTGGGCAGCATCCATGGCAGAGACGAGGGTGGCTCAGACCAGGCATGCCTGGGGCATGTGGTCACAGAAAGGTAAGGAGAGGCAGACAAGGAATGAAGAAGACAAGGAGGGGAAGGTTTTTAGAAAAGTGAGAGAAAAGAAAGAATACTTGGAATGAGAGAAGAAAAGGGGGAAGAAGGAAAACTAAATTAGAGTGCTATCTTATTGATATGGCCAGGGTTCCAAACAGCAAAGTGAAGGGAGGGAGCTGAATATCAGGTGCACTGTTGAAAACCAGAGGAGGAGGATTCTAATAAAAATGTGCTCCAATTATTTTCCGCACAAACGCCGTAACACACATGTATATGCATATATTAGTATATGCATCAAGAGTACCCCGATAACAAATCAAAGGTTTGGGGCTATTTCTGCCAGATTGCATTAACACCGAGGCACAACCACATAGCTTGCACATTCAATCTCCTCTTCCACTTCTGCCACGAGCAATTTGCACAGCCTTTCCCATTACCACCTCACCCCCCTCATGATGGCCCAGGAAGTCCATGAACCATCCTGTTTTGTGAGGCTTTTCAACCGTTTGGAACATATGCTCACATAAATAATTATGTCTTACATATCATCAGGAACATAACCTTTATTGTCCTTGGGATTTATGATAAAAATTCTTCCTTGCGGTCTCTTTAGGGAACACATGTTATGAGTTGATTGTTTTTTTCTCTGAGAAAGCTGAACGTAAACTCCAACGAAATCCCTTCCCCAGCTGAGCAAGGAAGGACCAGTGCTAGAGTCTTAGAAAGGCTCATTCCCTCTTCACAGTCTCTTCTGGGCAAGCTGCCTGAGCACGAAGACTCATTAGGTTGAGCCTGAATCACCCTTTTCCTTTTAGGGGAATCCTTCCTAGTTCTAACCAGGAATTCCAGTTCAGGAAAGCAGGAGGGGAGAACAACTAAATTCCCATCAATCAGGGACTCGTTCTCTTTTAAAAATGTTGTACCTGAAACAGCTATACATATATCAAGGAGCAAATCCAAATCTCCTGATGACGGGAGAAATGAATGGAAACAACGGAGCAAGAAGAAGACAGAACATAAAGAAAAGACAGAAGACAGGTAGTTTTCAGCCAGCTCCCAGCTCCCAGTGAGGACATTCCCCTGCATTTCACATTAACATTCTATTAACATTTCATGAGCCCATCAATATTTAATGAGGATGTGATCTGCATACACCGTAGATAGAATTACTGCAGCCAATAAATGTTCCGGAAACATTTCCAAGGCATTGTTTATTAGCAGGCACTAAATTAAGGAGTCATTTAAGTAATCAATATGTAAATCAGCTCTGAGAAGCCCTTCTCTTTACTCTTTAATGTACCATCCATCTTATCATATTTAGCTACCTAAAGAAAAACAAACCCTCCTTCTTGAGTGGTGTCTTTAGACAATGCGGACACAAGTCTTTAAAGTTACTTGTGTGGATTTTAAGGTCCACATTCCTGCAGAAAAGACTATGATTATGAACGTTACTAACAAGGTATTACTAGAGTGAGAGAGAATTCTTAAACTAAACGGTAGCTTTTTGCTTTAAAATTAACACACTAATCTATCTATATTCAATTTCAACATTCTGGTATTAACCATGTTCACCGGAGACAATTTGAAAAGTTCCATTTGAAAATATCGAGGCATATTTTCCATCTTCATTTTTTTCCTCACTCTTTAGTTTTAAGAGCAAACATACTGGAACAGAAACCATGATGGATGAAGCACAAAAACCTGCTATTATCCCTCATTTTAGAATACGCCATACCCAAAAGAAGTTGTAACCGTCTGCATGTCTTATAAAGTAAAACACTGGATATTGGTGCCATATTAAGTACAAAATGTGTTTTAAATACTTTCTGGTTTGCAGGCTATATTTATATAGCTTCTATCAACTGATCCCCAACAAGTCCAAATGATTGATAAGGCAGGCATTACTCTTATTCTCTTTAAAAATGTTGGCAGAGAGGAAGAGTAGGCTTGCTTAGATCACAGAGCTAGCCTAGGTCAGTCATGGAATTTCATTGTTAAGTCTTCAATTTCCAAATCTCTTCCTGTGAAGACGGCCTTCCCGTACATACTGTCATAAAATTCAATGGATTTCATGACTAAAGACATTAACGAACTTTGACCAATTTCTTCTATCTCATTGAAGTGGGTCTATAAATTCCAGCTCCTCCTAAACAAAAGCATAGGTTCTCTCTTATCTCATTTATCCCATGAAGATCAGTAGCAGTTGTTCAAGGTGAGTGACCCAATGCTGCATGGAGTAGCCCACAGGCTTTCCCCTCCCTAAATTCTGAGTAGCCCTCTGAGTGCTCTGCATTTCTTCTTCTCCACTGGTTCAGATCACAAACCTACTTGGCTTGGGCGTTGAAGTGCTGAATACAAGGCCAGCCACACGCCAGCACTCGCCCCTTCTCTGGTTTCTGGGGCCCCCTTGGTCTCAGCCTCAGCATCACATTGCTGACTTCTTCAGCTGGTTGTCCCCGACACATGTTCCTCCACATTCTGTTGAGCTCTCCTCTTCCAGGGTGAACCCAATCCATTCTGTCTTCCCCACAGCTGGCCCTGGGGTGAGAGCCTTGAGGGCCTCCTCCACTGCCCCTCACCCAGGAAGTTTTCCTTCACATGCTGCTTTGACTCTCAGAATCAGATCAAGTATAGTGGTCTCTTCACAGGCCACCGAAGACAGTGGGTGAACTTCTACTGTGTTCTCTCCAAAGAGAAAGGACTGTCCATCTTGCTCCAATTCGGACACAAAGCTGCTAGGAGAAGCATCGAACCTAGAGTGCCCAGGCAAAACTAGTTTAACGTGCACAAGACATTCCACGTCTTTGTGAGATACACAGAAGTTACAGAAAGCTCACTTCCTAGGATTGTGGTGCAAATTCAATCACAAAACAAAGGCAACTCACCTAAAACAGACTTGACCCATTTGTGGTTTATGATCTCTTCACCGCCCTCCCTCTTCCTATTCCTGTGTGACCCCGTGGCTGACATCCACACAAGGC